AAAAAAAAAACAAAAAAAATAAAAAAAAAAAATCCAAAAAATTCCTAAAAAAATCTATAAATACCCCCACTCCCATTCATTTTTCTCATCCCATTCTACACATTTTTTTTTTTATTTTACATATTATTCTTGAAATTTCAAAATGTCGAGCTCTCGTGGTGGTCGAGGCTCGGGCTCCGAACAAAAGCGTAAAAATATCGGCACATCTTCTTCGAGACCTCCATTGCCGACAATGGTAAGGCCAACGATAAATGTGAATGTTCCCAGTGTAGCCGATGATAGTGATGATGCAATGATCGAGCGCATATTTGAGTCCACTAAAGAGATCCAAGAGTCATACACGAGGAGTACGAGCAAGGCCAGCAGCGGCCGTATCACGAAGATTTGGATGGTATATTAGGAGGCCAAGGGACTACTGAGCCTCAGCAAGAGACGCAGGCGCAGGTGCACCCGGCCTCCGTCGGTTGTGGCGGTCAATCAAAAATGCTGAGATCCGACATGTTCGAACGACATTAGACGAAGGTGCTCAATCCGAAAATGTGAGAATCACTTCTTTGCTATTTGCAACCACTGTTCGGTCAACTCCAAGAAGAAGTACCATTTCAAAAGAGGCGATGGGTAAAGAACGTTGAACCGAACTTAAAGAATTATCATCCTACAAAACCGTTGCATCCGCCACGACTGGTAGAGATGCGGTTTCTTTATTTCATTACTCGTATGAAAAACATAGACGTCATTTAGCTAAATTTTTTTATGCTTCATCTCTTCCTTTTAGTTTTGGTGATAGTGATCTGTATGAAAATTTTGCACAAATGGCTTTGAATCTGGCAGCGCAATGGGTTCCACGTTCTACTCTTACTCATGCTGTTTGAAAAATTGTGGGTGAAAAAAATTAATTTTGCAACAAACTTTTGAATCTTTAAACCATAGAGTATCCATTTGTGCTGATATTTGGTCCGATCATTGGCAGAATAACTACTACCTAGGAATTACTTGTCATTGGATAGATGATACTTGGACTATGCAAAAACGTTTAATCGGTTACTGATATTGTATACTATACCTAGAAGAGTAAACCAATCGAGGAGGCCGGTTGAGTAAACCGAACAAACCACCTAGTCAAATGGAGTCCAAACGGGGTGGTCATGGTCGAACATCACAGGAATAAGAACCTCTAAATCGGAAAGACATCTTAAAAAGGGGTTTCGCTACATGGAGAGTAGGTCGAGCAAAGCCCTCGGACAACCTAGCCGAAGCTCGACCTGTATCAACAGATGGTCGTCTGAACGACCAGGACTCAGACTCGAAGCAGTAGACGCTCTACCTTAAATCGACCTAGAGTTGGGCAACCCTCGAGAAGATCTCAGGGGAATAAAATCCCCATGTGGAGTGGACACGCGACATGACCTGATTCGTCTATATCTCATAACCATCTCTGACACACCTTCAGTGTGTATTGTGCGACCGGGCAGCTCGGGCAGCTTGGGCAGCCAACTCAGCATATCTGGTCAGCCTTCTAGAAACAGGTACCTCACCTCTACATATAGGGGTGAGATGTTCATTTTTAAGGCATTATGTACATTATACTCTTGAGAGTTCATCTTCTACACATACTCATTTAAGCATCGGAGACTCTTCACCGGAAAACTCCTCCGGTGTGAGAGTTTTTGCAGAAACATTAACTTATAAATGAATCTTCTATTTAGATACTAGACAAATCAACGAGTGATCAGAATCAATCAGCGGACCTTAAGGTGAACGAACATAGCTCCGTAGCTCAAGTATACAAGAGCTCGGAGATAGCCATATCCAAGGAAAGGAAGAACTGAACTGAAAGCACGGGGCGTTCTACCAGTAAGGAAGACAAGAGCGAACGGATTTCCAGCCGGTCGGAGGGTCTTACGTTACCATTTGGTGTCGTCTGTGGGACTTTCGTTTGAAAAGTTGTGTGCAGAGCTTCAGAGCTGTTTTATCCATGGCCGACGAGGTTTGAAGGAAGAATTTGCAGTCGTCGTTCAACGATGCATGGACGACGATGCGACCGTTCGAGTTGGCCCTCCTCCAAGCTTCTCCAGACCTTCTCAAACCCCGATAACCCCAACTCCTGCTCCTCAAGGTTTTGGGAGTTCATCGGTGGTTCCTATTGCGGAGGTGGGCTCGAGTCGGGCACAAGAGGCTCGAGCAGCGCAAGGGACGGTGGTACCTGCACAACCACAACCACATCTAGCTGGAGTTCAACCGATGGGGGCTGTGGAGCAGGTGGTGGCGTCATTGAGAACGGACGTGGAACGGCCTGGTCAACAGGTGGTGAAGATGATCAAAGAGGAGATGGAGAGGATGGTGGTCGATGCGGCAGTGCATGCGGTAAAACAAGTCACGAACCATACTTCACATGCGTCTACCGCGCCGACCACGGTGGTAGGCGTACAACAAAACACGGAGGAGGACGCGTCGAGCTTTGGAGGAGATGAAGTCCCAAGGGACCGAGCTTTGGAGAGGATGGTTGAGCAATTGTGCCAATTGCAGGCTAAAGTGGATGGTAGACTAGAGGGACGTGCTCGAGGACGTCCCTTCTTGAGAAAAATTTTGGCAACACCATTACCGGTCAACTTCAGGGAAACCAGCTTGACGTACAACCGGTCGACCGATCCGTCGAGTCATGTGAGGTCATTTGAAAACATAGCGGCGTTGCATGGGTATTCAGACCCGGTAAGTTGCAGGGCGTTTCTTTTGGCCCTGAGGGGAGGGGCACTCGATTGGTTTCATCAACTTCCCCCGGGGTCTATAAAGGATTTTAAGGACTTCTTTGAGAAATTGATGAACCAGTATGCGAGCACAGTTGCACAGGAAAAAACTTATTTGACAAATGGCGATGAGGCAAGGTGAGGGGGAGTCGTTGGGGAAATACGTTGCGCAATACAATCAAACATATTTAGAGATTCCATCAGCCTCGGACGAGGTCAAGGCTGGTGGGTTAATCAGGAGTTCGACCTATTCAAGGAGGTCATAGGTTTCACAATTTTCACACCTCTGAATACCAAGATAGGGGAGGTCTTGGTAGCAATTGAGGAAACGTTGGATGGTTGGGATGTCACATGGCCAAAGTCGAAGTTTGATGGGCCAACTCAGCCGAAGTCGAGAAGGTACTGCAGGTCCATAAAGATTATGGCCACATGACGGAGAATTGCAGGCACCTCAAGGACGAGATCGAGCGCCTGATTAGGGCAGGGCATCTCAAGGAGTTTGCTTACAATGAAAGAGCAAAAAAGAAGGAGAAAAGAAAATGTCGGAGGATTCTGTGGAGAAAAGTGATAAGGACGAGAACGAAGAGGACGATGGTCAAGAAGATCGAGGTGGTCAGAGAGGTGAAAGAAATAAGAAGAAGCGAGGAGATGGAGGTCGAGAGGAGTCGGGGAATGATGCGCCAATCAAAAGAGGCACTATTTATATGATCACTGGTGGACGTACCGATGGTGACACAAATAATGCAAAGAAGGAACACCTTTGAGTAGTCAAAATTAAGAGAGAGGAAGTGGGAATCACTGCTCAAATGCCGGTGATCAACTTTCAGTCCGAGGACGTGGAGGGGGTGTTGGTGCTTCATATGATGCACTGGTCATTACGGCGGAGGTCACAGGTTTGGATGTGAAGAGGGTGTTTATCGATACGGGGAGTTCGGTCGATGTGATGTTTTATGACTACTTTACGCAGATCAGTTGATAGTTGAACTTGGAGTTTATGGTTTCAATGGCAGTGAGGTGATGCCAATGGGGGAGATAACTCTATCAATCGCCCTAGGGTCGATTCGGTAGGTCAGAATGGTGAGGTTTGTGGTCGTAAGTGCAGAGTCTTCATATAATATTATCATGGGGAGGACTAGCTTGAACGCTATCCAAGCTGTAGTGTCGACCTATCATATGTTGATAAAGTATCCGCTGGGTGAAGGTGTTGGGGAGATAACAGTAGATCAGTTGACATCGAGGAGTTGCTACCAGACCACAGTGAGCAACAACCAGCAGATGGCCAAAAGACAATATAAACCCATGGAGGAGGTGTCGGATCGACCAAGTGGTTCCCGGCCGAAAGAGGAGAAGTCAAAGCTAGATAAAGGGAAGTAGAAGGTGGATATCCAACCCGGAGGTGAGACAGAAGAAATCCAGATGGTGGAGGGTTGTGATGGCAGGAAGTTCAGGATTGGTAGGGAATTGGAGGAGTTATTGAGATCGAGGTTGGTCGAGTTTGTAAGGGAGTTCGTAGATACCTTTGCTTACACGACTGAGGAGTTGATGGGCACCGAGCTTAGTATGATCGAGCATTGGCTCAACATCGACCTCAGTGTGAGGCCGATGAAATAGAAGAGGAGACATCATGATGCAGAAATGGACAGGGTGACCGAGCAAGAGGTGGAGAAACTTTTGAAAGCCAGACACATCAAAGAGATACAATTTTCAGAGTGGCTGTCTAATACTGTCATGGTGTCCAAGTCAGAGGGAAAGTGGCGACTGTGTATCGACTTCGGGGATTTAAACAAGGCGTGCCCGAATGACTTATATCCATTACCCAGGATCGACCAGCTTGCCGACACTACTGCAGGGTGCGAGCTGCTAAGTCTGGTGGATGCATCATAGGGTTATCATCAGATCCCTTTGGCTAAAGAGGATAGGAAGAGAGTAGGCTTTGTTAGGAGCAGGGGGACATATTGTTATGTGG